TGACTTTTTGTCAAATTTTCCAGGGATTAGTCTAAAAATTGATATTTGTAGTTCTTAATGGGTTTTTGTCTAGTGGCAGAAATTTGAATATCTAGGCTTATATTTTCGGCATATAATGGTACCCACTGATATTCGGTATTTTGATAATTCTTATCACATTTATTTTCGGAATTTTATTTATCAAATTTGGCATTTAAGACTTGCAATAGACTAATGGACTCACTCACATTATGCTTTATTCAACTAGTATTTGTAGTTTAAAGTGGAACACGGTTGAATTAAGATACTTCTATATAAAAATGTTTCCTTTACCGAATGGTAAAGGGTATTAAAATTTCGGCCCAGCCGAACTTAATGTTTTTCTTTTTTAATTGTTAGCGCTCTCATAAATTTATTTGAAGTTTCTTAATTAATAAATCAATTATTTATGCCACAAAAATCACTTCAATAACACTCAAATTGGAATCAATTTAATTAATATTTTATAATATTTCTTCCATTTTTGCTCTTATAGCTTGTTTTTGAAAAAGAGAATTACATGCACTTGAATCATTTGTATAAAAACGTATTCGTTAACTAGTTAGCTAGTTGTATCAAATGGTTGACCCGAATAAAGCCTTGGAGCCATTTTTAATTGATAATAATTCTTGGCAGAAAGTTGAGATTTTGAAAAATATATACATCGCTATAATCTTAGTCCCACTGCACTATTAGAAACGCTTACACCATTTTGCATAACAAAATTAATTACAATAAATTTCAACTAGCCGCAGTCAACGTGTAATTTAAGATCTTTTTATACAACAAACAATTGCAAATTAGTTTGTATGTATAGACTTTTTGCTATGACTATTAACTAGTCGTCAATCGTTAAGAAACATCCAAAGTTAACAGAAAGGACTAAGTGCTCTCATAACTTGTACTCAGTTTACCGCAGTGGCAGTGAACATTTTTATGGTGGTCATAATTTTTATTTTGCAATTAGCCATTGCTAAAGTAAACATTATAGTTGTCTGTAGTCCATGGTGGCCATACGGATGGTAATTCAATAACTACTTTAGAATTTAGTATTCCGTTAGTGTTCAAACGTTAAAGTCGAAAAAGTTATTACAAAAAAAAAAAAAAATTAATACAAATATTTACATTTATAAGGTGGTTCATATGTTTTATAATCTGTGTCATAATTAATTTTATAAAATCCTAAAACGACCTATTATTTAATTTATAACGCATGAAACTATGAATCATATTTGAATTCTTGTGTTAAAACTCAAAAATATGATAGAAAACAAGACTAACATTAACATGTAAAAAATCAGTAAGTTCGCCCATGCCGAACTTTGGATACCCTACAATAAATAAGTAGAAAAATACGGTTAAAATCATAAAAATACAGAACATAGGGAGACGAAGACGTGGACCTACATAGACTAACTTTGTTATAAGCCATTATAAGAAAAAAAATCCTAAAAAATACTGGTAAATATTGTCGCGAAAACACCAAAATACCGAATATAGGAAGGTACCGTTGTATAAGGTATATACGAAGACGTAGACCCGCATGAGCATTTTTTTGTCATAGGCCATTACAATATTTAAATGCGAAACTTGAAACAATTCTGGGGAATTGTTCATTAATATACCTAATAGACAGTATTCTGTCATAGATTTAAGTGCCCATTAAGAACTTCAAATATGAAATTTGAAACAATTCCGGTGAATAATGTCGTTTAAATAAGTAAAATACCGAATGTGGGGAGGTACCATTATATGCGGGCTACATGAAGACTTGGACCTGCATAGGCATTTTTTTTTTGTCCTAGACAGATGTACCCAAAAGGAACTTCAAACACGAAAGTTTATACAATTCAAAATATCGGATATAGGGAGGTACCGTTATATGCGGGCTATGCGAAGACCTGGACCAGCATGGACAGTTTTCGGTCATAGACTGAAGTACTCATTACGAACTATCATTACGAAATTTGAAACAATTCCAGTGAAATTATCAAAATAATAAAAATTATCCTAAACGTGGACCTATATAGCCCATTTCCAATACCAAAAGTTCGTAATGACAAACTTAAGGTATTTTTAAGACTTTTACAGATTGATTTCTTTGGCAAAATTTAAAGTGGATCCAATAGTCAACCCCGATACTTTTATTTTTACAGATTTTCATTAACTCTTGGGGGAGGGTATTAAAGTTTCCCGGCTCAAGCGAGCATTTGTTGCCAGTTTGTACTTACCTCCAATGATATTCCCATTAGAGGTAAGGGTTTTCTTTTGTAAATAGAAACTGGTGCCAAAGACTACTTAAAAAACCCATTATTTGCTATTAATCGACCGGTAGGATGGTTTAGGGTCTCTTCTCGCGTGGTGGAGTGATATGATATGAATCCTTTAAGAAGTACAAAAAGGCTCAACATGGCTCATCATATTTTGTACTTTATAAGATTACTACAAAGGGCTTTGTGGAATTTCATAATTGAACGAAAAGTACGAAATGGTACAATATTGTTATTAAGCGATGAGTAACAGAGAGGACTTTGAGCATTTGAGCGGAATTCATTTTTAGTTTCGAGAGTCAAGGTAACGCTTTGGTTTTTAGAATTCCAACTTTTAAGGGTACAGAGAGTACTAATACTGTGAAATTTTAATATTTTGATCCAACATCGAAAAAGTTATACGAGTTACAAAATGGTACAACATTTTTATTGAGCGATCTAAAAATGTCGAAACATTGAAAGTTTGCGTGATACTGTTGTTTTTTTGAATGTTTATGCTTCAAGGTTACGAAAATTAATCTACTGGTACAGCATAATTATTAAGTGATCTGTATGAGGTATACCGTAAAGACATTGAAATAAGGCAATAACCATGGAAAATTTCTATTTTATGGATGCGAAAATACTAAAGTGCATTTTACATATGGTGTATGAGGTTAAATAAACCGAGAATTTAGGTAACTTCCACTGATAGAAAGATAACAACAAGTTCGGCCGGGCCGAACTTTTAATACCCTCCACCATTTGGAAGGAACTTTAAAAATTTCTCAAAAAAAACTGCTTATAAAATTTTGTAGTGCTCATTACGAACTTAAAATACCAGATTTGAAACAATTCCGGTAAATAATATCACTAAAATCATGAAAATACCGAATATCGGGAGGTACCGTTATATAAGGGTTATACGAAGACGTGGACCTGCATACGAAGTTTTTTCCCATAGGTTGTAATAACCATTAACATCTCCTAATACGAAATTTGAAACGATTAAGGTGAATAATGTTGCTGAAATCATCAAAATACCAAATATCGGGAGGTACCGTTATATGGGGGCTACACGAAAATGTGGACCGACATGGCCCGTTTACGAACTACTGGTAAACTATGCATGTGTGCCAAATTTTAGCCTTCTATATTCGTTCGAAAGATAGCGGGATTACAAGAAACGAACAGCCAGACAATACAGACAGAGGGACAATGCTAGATCGTCTTAGAATTTCACGCTGACCCAGAAGATATATAAAAACTTTGTAGGGTCTATTATAAATATTTTGAAGAGTGACAAACGGAATGACAAAATTAGAATGGTGGAGGGTATAATAAGGATAACTTTAAAATACCCAAAAAGTACGAATGTGTTGAATTAGAATTTTAAAATGAATTATTTTTATCGATTGAAAAGTTATTAATCCGTAATTTGTTTATGACTGATACAAAATACGGATTACAAAATACGAGCACTTTCGGCTAAAGATAAACGAATGTTCTCAATTTTAAATAATATTTTCTCCCAATAGAGTTATATTTGTAAGCGTTCACTTAAACTTTAAGATCAATCGGAAGTGGAAATAACACACTCTACTGAATGAAATCAGTACTGTGGAAAATTTGATTGTACCCTTTGCTTAAACTCAGATCATTCTAATTTAGATTTTCCACTCAACTGGTAGCGAATCACTTTGAAAAGAAAAACCGAGTTATTATTCATCTAAAAATTTTAAAATTTAGTTAATTCGATTCCAGGGTTAAAAACAGCGTTTGTCATCTTCTTCCAGTAAAAATTAAATATGTGAATTTTTTAAACGATTTTGGACAATTATTAAAAATGACAAACCCTGTTGCATAATATTATTTGTTACACTCTCCTTTCTTTTCCACATAAGTGAAAAATATCTGTAAAAATTTTAAATATTCAAAAAGCAATAATGACAATCACATTGTTTATATTAAATACTCAAGAGGATACAGAATTGCTCTGACCCATATTAAAGGTTAGCCTTGAGCACCATATTTGCAAGACACTTGAAAAAAATACGTATATATTTAATTTTTTCTGTATTGACTTTTTTTCTCAACATGTATAATACATTTTCAATATTCACCTTGGCCTAAAAAACTGTGCTATGTATAAAATCAGGTCAACCAATTAGCTTGAACATTTTAAACTTCACCTACATTTGCTACTCTTGCATCCGTATATGTATGTACCCGGTGAAAGGATCCTGCGAAAACTGTGCACACATGTATTTCCAATGAGAAAAAGTCAACCATAAAATAATGCAAACCAAATAAACGCAATCACCTGAAAGCAATTTGGGGCTGTGGCCCGAGTTGATGTTTGTGGCCACACTCAATTTCCGTGCGTTTTTTGGTTTCAGTGTTGGAGATAATATTTACATACATGACTTGACTTATTGTATTCGTGGGTGGATTCTAGGGCAATAAATTATGTAAAAAAGTCCCCTCGACACTTTATTGAGTTTAATAAATATTTATTCAGCACACAGATTAAACGGTTATCAAAAACTATCAGCCACCAGCTATCCAGCATAGACGTCGTCTGTCGGGCCCAAAAACAATAATCATAAATAAAAAAATTCATTACTATTTGCATACGCTGATAAAAAGAACTGACAATTTATGAGCATTTACAAACATCAAATGCCAAGTCATATTTCATTTTTTTGTTATCTCTTCTCTCTGGCTTTGCAGACCAATTTCATCATTTCCATTTGGACAAAGGACTCAGTCTGTCTTCACTCGGCGAGAATAGCGGAAAAACTGTTCCAGTTCCAGCAACAAGTATTACTGTCATAGAGTATTCGAGGATATACATATGTGTGTAAAATACATCTGTGATTTAAGCTAAAGAATTCTACGAAAATAAAGCTGTAGCAGAACAAAAGACACAATCGCAGTACAAACGTCCGTCAATACCAAACTTAAAAACAGTTTTTAGTTACAAGAAGCAAGCAAAACTAATTCGTCTGCATCAGAATTTATTGACTTGGCTGTTGTTACGAAAAGAAGAAACAATAGATGAAATGTAGCGGTAAGTAAAATTAGAATAACAATAATACTAGATATCTAATCAAAAATTCCGAGTTACTCGAAAATTGGATATAATATATATGGGAGCTTGCTCCTAACTTAAAAAAACGTCACAACAGTTTCAAAATTAGTTTAAATTTAGTCTATACTTTTAATGAACGCACAAAATCGTTAAATTAGGTTTACAAAAGTAGGGGCATTAATAATCTGACTTTGGTCATCAGAAGCTACCATGGGTCTTACCTGTTAAATTTAGCATCCCTGTAGGAAACGTCAATGGCCATAGCTACTGACTTACTATTAACTTTGTCACCAGTACTACTGACCAAAAGTAGACAAGCAATGCTTTTTATACACTCAGCCTTATGGCTAGAGAGGGTATATATCATTTTATACGGCCAAAACATGGCTCATCGAAATAACGTCTTTAGACTCTAGGTCTCTTTGGACCAAATTTGTTTGAGGACATTTGGAGTCGATCTAGCAATGTCCGTCCGTGCGTCTGTCTGTCGGGCTGGTGCGCCCGTACCTTCCTCACAAAAGGTTGATATTTTCAAACAAAAAAATAAAACCAGGCGGGCCGACTTTATTACACCCTACACAACTTTGCTAACTTATTATAATTATAATGCTATGATTATAATTTAAAGTTCAAAGGACTATATATTCTGAAGCATTTGTATCTTTTAAATTCGGACTTGTATTGCCCATTTGGTGCACAATTAATTTGAAATCGGATAAAGATATACATATATGGGAGCTATATACAAATCGGAACCGATCTCGATAAAATTTGGCAAAGATATTTCTGAGCTGTATTTGATGTATTTCCCTGATTATCGTTGTTACGGAGTGCATATTACGGCTGTGGGTAACAAATATAACAAATCGGATGAACAATATATATGGGAGTTGTAGCTATATCTGATATCTAATTTGGTTGTGCAGATCATCAAAAGGAACTATGGGTCTATCTCGTTTCCTTTTGCCTGTTACAAACAAATGCACAAAGACATAATACCCTGACCACCTTGTGGAAAGAATAATCCGATTCTGATCCAACTATGTAAATCATAATATTTGCATCAGTGCTAGGTCAGGTGCAAAAATGACATAATTGGTCCAGTCAATAAAGTACCTCCACACAAAGGGTCATAATTTTGAATAATTATAATTCTTATATGATGTAAGTGTCCGATTGCGAAACAAGTAAGCGATTCTTTACCACTTGATATATCTAAATATTTCTCTCAACCAGAAGCCTGCGATGAATATGGTATTTATAAACCCGTATAACATTGGGTATAAATAATCGATTTCCTTGTAATTTCGCCCATAACAATATTTTTATCAGTATTAGACGAAGAATGAAAATGGAATACTTCGGTTCACTATATCTGGTACCTCACGCGCATTTTAAGCTTTACTAAAAAAAAATCAAATATCTCATATACTGTGAAGGAAGTAGTCTATATAGTCCAAACCTGGCACGTCGCAATATTTGTATCATATATATTTGGGTCCGATACGAAATGGTCAATATTGGACCATTTCTTCGGAACATACTGCATAGAGGGTTAACAATTTGAATAATCATAACAGAAGGCAAACTATATTTAAATTATCGAACATTGGCTGTCGGCAAAACCGACTGACTGAAAAATTGGTGTGTCTGGTTACTTTTCCTGCAGGAATTGTCCAGCAACTTCTCTCTGAGAGAGTAAGGAAGTTTTATTCTCTTTTGCAAGAAAACTGTGAAAAGTAAACAAACGGAATCCCTGCAAAAACTTGCAAGCAATCAGCTGATTTGTAAAAACAAACCAATTTGTCCCCCATCAAAAGAATTGAAAGAAAAAGAAAGCACCACCAATTTTATAAGTTTTAGAAATAAAAAAGGAGATTAGCAGTAAAACAATAACATGAGCTAATGATAATGGCGTTTGTCTAAAAATGTTGGAAATAGTCTTTTATTTTCTTATTACATACTAATACTTAAGTTTTTCTCATTTTGTAAAGTTGTTCTCCAAAAATAAATTAGTCTTGCTAATTTCAAAAAATATTTTCAAATTGAAAGCACAAAAATTTAAACAATTGAATTTCGATGAATGAGAAGAAGAAGAGTTGCAAGTGATTGCAAGAAGAAATTTGTCCAGCAAGAATTTGCAAACTCTCACTGAAAGAACTGTCAAAATTTCTCTCTCTCTCCAACCGCTCTTTTTTGCAGAACAGGTTAACAGACGACTTCCAGTAACAATTTGTAACAATTGTTACATATTTTAGGATAACTAGACACACCTATTAAAAGAATAAAAAAAGAAGAAGCAGAAGCTGAATTTACCAGCTGTCATTGTTTATGCTTCTGCTTCTTTGGAGAAAAAACAAAACTTGTAGACAAAATATTGACAATATCCCATAATTTGTAAAGAAAAGTGGTGACGTAGAGACATACAAGCCCAACCTTCCCACAGAGATGCTACACAAATATACGCTGAGAAAACCATTGCGATTATTAAATATTCCAAGTTGCATATTTAAACTTCATACCTAATTTGAAGCTAGGCAGGTATTTTAAAGGTGTCCTCTTTATTTAAATTAAGTAAATTCAACAGAATTTCGGTATAAGCTCCATAATATTTTACCTACACATTTCAATTATTTTAAAACTATTTAACTTCGGAATAAAAGTTTTAAAAATTCCATTAACTGGGTGGAACCATTCTATGGGTGCAATATCAATATGCGATCCTTATAAAATAGTGTTCTACTACAAGGAAAATTTTAAACAATTCCGTGCCAAATCATGAAAAAAAACATATAAATTATCAAAAAACCGAATCCGATAGAAAATCGACAAAATTCCAAATATCGGGAGATACTGTTATTGGGCGCAATACTAATGCGTGAACCAAAATACTCCATTTTAAATACCAGCCATCCTTCTCGACACATTTTGGGCTGTGTAAAAGTGGTGAATATTTAAATAGAAAACATAAATACCATCTTTCCACGGTGAAGGGTATAAACATAAACAAACAACAAAATCTTCACATTTTTCTAAATGGTCTTATAATCACAATTTTGTGTTTGAAAGTTTTCTAGTCACCAGAAAGATAAAATATCAAGTTGCTTCCAACTTCAGGACAACATCAATCTTTAAAATTCATAAAATCGGACGAACCACCCTTAGCCCGATATCTAATCAAGATATTTATTTGTTGCGCCTTCTAAAGTAAATGACACATGTGTGTATTGGTTACGCAACGACTTTAAACTAGTTATAGCATCAAAAACACAACACTTCCAGACCATTTAATATTCTATTTCTGATAAATGAGCAGTTGTGCTTACTATATAATTTGACCAGACCACATCAGATCTAACAAAGCTTTCGAGAAAACGCTTACTCCTAAATTAAAGAAAACGTATACGCGAGAGGAATTACGTATACGTTTGTTTGTAACATAGAAAAAGAAGCGAGATAAACCCCTAGTTCCTTTTGGTGGTACCTGTTCGTTCATCCATGTATTTTTGTAACAAAATGCACAATTCATTTGTATCTTAAAAGAGATATTGAAGACAATCTGTTCATGGATAAGTCAACATCTTTTTATAATAAAAGAGAACAGCATGGCTGCTTAGTGTAGAATAGAGGAATTTGTTAAACATGGATTTTCTTAATACAGTCCACATTTAATAAAATAAGAACATTTGGTGAGCTACCTTCGAATTAGAAATAAATAATATAGAATTTTCAATTGCTGCATGTGTCATAGTGAAGTTGGATTACGGGATGTAATCTTTAGTCAGACTGATAATCAAGTGCAGCATTTTTGCTTGCCACATGTGAGATAGCTATGCGTGTATATGACCTCCCCCTAAGATTTATGGTGGCATGGTACATAGGCATGGGTACAGTTGGTATCCATCTCTAGGAATATTTTTAATAAATAAATTTAGTGCCTTACAAAAGCTCATCAAAGATAGGCGTGGTGTCTATTGAATTACTGATCCCGGTTTACACAATTGGTCAAAATTTTGATATAGCTCCTATATATATCTTCATCCGATTTGTTTTATTGTACACGAAATGTGTTGGAATTGGAATTTGCACAAATGACCAAATTCAGCCTGGAAATAAGTATGTCAAATTTGGTGGAAATCGGTTCAGATAAGCTATAGCTCCCATGTATATTGATCATCCGATTTGTTATTTTTATCCTTCGTAGTCGTAATATGCACCCTGTAACAATTATATTCGGGAAAATATTTGAAATTCAGCTCAAAAATACATCTGCCAAATTTTATCGAGATCGTTTCAGATTTGGATAAAGCCCTCATGTATATCTTTACTCGATTTAAGGTTTATTGTGCACCAAATGGTTAATATAAGCCCGAATTGATTAGATTTTGGCACATATGAACGAATTCAGCCTGGAAGAAAGTCTGTTAAAATTGGAGAAAATCAGTTAAGATATTGCTATAGGTCTCATATATATGTTTCATCCGATTTTGTATTTATGTCCCTCACAACCGTTAAATGCTCTCCACAGTAAAAATATTTGGTGCCAGATATCAAATACAGCATAGAAATGCCCCTGCCCAATTGTATAAAGATGAGTTCAGATTTAGATATAGCTCCCATATATATCTTAATTCGATGTCATGTTTATTGTGCCTTAAAAATGTAATATCATGTCAAATGAGATGGATTTTGGCATCTTAAAGTCGGCATCGCCCGACTTTTGGCCTTTATTTACTGGTTTATTCTATAATATTGTAGACATAATTTACTAATATTTCCTCCTTGTTTTATTTATTTTATTTAGCGGATCTATGGTCGGCGAACGTGATAGAGACCGTGAAACGGTACGCTGGGAAACGGGTGCATCAACACCACCGACCCAATACAATAATGGAGCATTACAAATGGTGGGACAATTGCATGGTGGACAGGCTACAAGCCAACAACAATTGCAGCAGCAGCAACAGCAACAACAATTGCCAATACAACGTGATCAACAACAGCCGCCACAGCAAATTTTGCAAAAACACAAACAACTGCAACAGCTGCAACAGGACTACAATTATCAGCAGCAGCAGCAGCAACAACAACAGCAGCAGCAATCCAACAACTGGATCGAAAACGAAACACTTGGACGCAACAGTGCAACATCAACCACAACAACGGCGAACATCGGAGACGGCTGTGATAATCAGCCCTACTACGACACCAGCGGGAATGTCGATTGGAGCCGGGCGATGGGAACCGGTGGAACTGGTGCATACATTAGCGGCGATGGATCTCTCCCAACAGCTGGCAGTGTTGTTTATAACGTTGGCCAAAGTCCTGCAAACGGCCGAGGGCCCCACCACCATCCCGGCGCCCCTCTTACTGGCAACCTGGATTATATTGATGGTGGCAGCATTGCTGGCGCATCCGCCGCAACTACGCACACTGCTGGCGGTATGCAGGGCGGAACTTCAATCGCTTCGGTTGGTTGGGCGTCGGACGCTACAAACGCTCCGCCGCCAACTACCACCGCCGTCACAACTGCAACATCGGCTTCAGGTACTGGCAAAGAGGTTCGCTACGCGCCGTTCCCCATCACGTCGCCGACACACTCGAATCCCACGACTTCCCAGTTGCAACAGGGCCAAATCAATGCCGGCGCCCTCCAGCGGACACATTCCAGATCAATGTCCTCCATCCCGCCTCCGGAACCTTTTATGATAGCACAGTCGAAGCAAATGAACAGTCGCGTCTCCATTAACGTCGGCGGAGTCAAACACGAAGTCCTGTGGCGCACACTCGAACGCCTTCCCCACACGCGCCTCGGACGTCTGCGTGAATGTACCACACACGAGGCCATCATCGAACTCTGCGACGACTATTCGTTGGTGGACAACGAATATTTCTTTGATCGCCACCCCAAAAGCTTCAGTTCCATTCTAAATTTCTATCGCACCGGTAAATTGCACATTGTCGACGAGATGTGTGTGCTCGCCTTCAGCGATGACCTCGAATATTGGGGCGTCGATGAGCTCTACTTGGAGTCGTGCTGTCAACACAAGTACCACCAGCGCAAGGAGAACGTACACGAGGAGATGCGCAAGGAAGCCGAATCGTTGCGCCAGCGCGACGAGGAAGAATTCGGCGAAGGTAAATGTGCCGAATACCAAAAGTACTTGTGGGAGTTGCTCGAGAAGCCGAACACTAGTCTGGCAGCGAGGGTAAGTTCGTTGAATTTTCAGTGTTTTCTATTTCTCAACTTCTTTGGAAAATGTATTAACCCAATTATCTTTTACAATTGTATTCCTATAGTATTTCTATTATTATTTATTTCCTGTATTATTTTCGTATTCGATTTTAGTTATTTTATGTTGATTACAAAAATTAAGTTAGTTCCTCTTAAGTTATTTTCATTTAGTCTATCTCTCTCCCAATTTTCATTGAGTATTGTTTTCAAAATCTTAGGTTTTTACACTAAAGAAGTAGTGGCAAATTCAAATCAAAAGCAATGTGTCATACAACTTTATTACTTGCGATTAAGAGACGTTTAATTTGCTCACTGGCATAGTGTAAAAATTATAGAATCCATTCCCAATTACCCGTATCCTTTACGTTTACGTTTTTCTAAACATCATATATCCCATTCTTCTTCTTCTTCGCCTCCCTCCTTCTCTCTTCTCCTGCGTGAGAAGTTTCGATGATTTATATAAAAACGCTGTATAAAAATGCCTTACTTTTCACCGACCACCACTACCACCAAAGAAAATAACCAGTCAATTACATGGATATTCTTTTTGTTGTGTTTTCATTTCCGTTTTCATTTGAAATTATCGACGTCAAATGTGTTATTGAGTTGATGTCATGCTTTGTTGTTTGTTGTGCGCAATCAGATTAATTTCCATGTAACCAAAATGTTTCTAAACTAAACTACGCCTATTTACTAAACAACAATCTTTCCGCTATCTTTCGATACTCATAATTGTAAATTCCTTGGATCCATCACCAAAACGAAAACAAAAGGCGCAGAATAGCAATCAACAGGACAATAATATCGAGAAGAGAAATCGCCAACACAGCTTACGAGCGATATTTTCGTAAATCTCCATATTTTCGCTACAAATGCTGCTGTAAATAGCAAAACTATATAAAGTTTATATATGTTGTTGTGTTATTTAATTTCAATATTTATTTTTGTGTTTATGTAAGTCTTAAATATGCAGTAATTCGTTATTTTCAAGTTGATGTGTGCGTGTTTTTGTGTTTGAGAGTTGTGGGTAAGTGTATAAACACCAGAGTGGTTGTTAAAATGAGAAACTGGGGGGAAAAGACATTTCGTTTCCATTGGGTATTAATATTTTTGTAGAACAATTTCATTTTTAAAAAACAGGTTATACTGACAACCATTATAATGAAGAAACTATTGCTGATACGGTCTTTACAATACATCAAAAATAGCTTACTCAATCTTAACATGGTTTGGTGGGTTCAAAAAACGACCACGTGGGTTCAATAAAACCAAGTACAACTATGACGCCGGGGATATATTCATATTATTTGCTGTAGAAATCTACGACAACTGACAGCGTAATTCTAATACGTTTGATGAGCAGAATAACCTAACTCTCTCAAATTGTACAATCCTTAGAATAAATAATTTGACATATTTACGATTTTTTCGCACGACGACGAATCGATCAATTGCCCTTTTCTTCGACACTGGCCTCAACGTCAGCAATATTTTCTTCCGTACTCACTCTTCTCATTCTTTTCGGTAACTTGGCAAACAGGATGATCGTCTGACCATAAAATTCACGAAGTGCTCTATAAACATTTTTTATTGAACAATATTTTTGAAAAGTAATATTCATTAAAAAAAGACAAGTAAAAAAGCACTAAGTACTTTTTATACCCTCCAGCATTTGGGAGAAACTTGAAAAATATCCAAAAAATTCTGTCGAAAAATGCCGTTCGAATGAAAACCGCTATAAACTGATTTCAAACGAAAAGCAAATAAAATATGTTCACAGGATGGCTTTCTCGTGACAAAATGGACGATAACTTCTTCTGCTGATTGGAAGAAATCTCCAGAAAAAAATCTTTTAACTAACACCAACATCCGAAAACCTTCTCAAAATGTCCAAAGTGAAAATCGGAAAAAGTAAACATGCTGATAGATAAACTTACCCTTAAACACATACTTCACACACAGAGGTCGCTTATATTTACGTTAAAAACGACAAATTCGGGAGTGTAAAAACGAAAAACGGTGGGCCACTAAATATCAGAACAAGCGCCTCTACACACCCCCCAACCAAAATCAGACTTTGGGGCTAAAATTTTTCCTGCATAATGTCCCAAGAATCATGAACATATCGAATATCTGGGGGTACCGTTATATGGGCGCTATACTAAAACGTGGACCTATTTAGAAAATTCTCTTCTAAGGTGTAAAGTACTCAGCAGGAACCCCGTTATATAAACAATGCTATTCTAGGGGATAAAGCACTCAAAAGAAACTCTTTGTGTGCATTTTCAGCCAATTCCGTTGAAAAATGTGGCTAAAATCCTTAAAATATTGAATATTGAGGGGCACCGTTGTGTGGGGGATGTGCGATATCGTGGACCTATATAGATAATTATCTTCCAGGGGGTAAAGTAGTCACGAAGAACACCTTGTGTAGAATTTCAGACAATTCCATTGAAAAATGTGGCTAAAATCATCCAAATACCGAATATCGGGGGATACTGTTATATGGAGCTATACGATATCGCGGACCGATATAGGCCATCTTCGAACTTGACATGCCTGCAGACAAATGATAGATCTGTGCAAAATTGTAGCTTCCTTTCTTAATTCGTTTTGACTGTAGCGTGATTACAACAGATGGACGGACGGACGGACAGGGCTAAATCGTCTTACGCTGATTAAGAATATATATACTTTGTTGGGTCTAAAACGGAATGACGAACTTAATACACCATATTATGTATGGGAGAGTATAAAAATTCTTACATCACTGCGAGGAAGAAGACATGCATCACATTTTTCCCAATCACGTGCACTTTGGCTTTATGGAACCGTTGGGCATTTTGATTTGCTCTCGACAGCAAAGATTTAGCTTGTGCAAAGTTAAGAAACCGCTAACAAAAGATCTAAATTTTTAAAATTTTTCTTCCACAATGTTTTCTCCTGTTCTGGCCAAAACGTCTAAAACATAGAACCCAAAACGTCTAAATTTTGAGGAAATAACAAACAAAGGGTAAATTCTGCCTAGGATCTCAATGAACAACTTTTAAGAGCAAAAAGTTTTAAAAATCTTATCCTGAAGATAAAAATAGCCAAACGAACTAAAAAAAATATTTTTAAAATTTTTAATGTTTTGTTATATAAATGCCAAACTGGCAAAATTCAAAGAAAGGACCGACTAATAAAAGTTGACCGCGTGATTTATACCACAGATAAAAGACGACATCGACATAGGACTTTTCAATACCTAAACTCGATCAATCGAAAGATGTATGGGTGAAATAAGGTGCAAAGTATGCACTCTGGACTATTGTCGCATTAAAATATTTATTCCATTTGGAAGACAAGTTCTACTAATAATTCATTATAAGGGTTTTTACTCCAAATACAGTGTGAGATAAAAAAACTGCAACAAAGTCAAACGCCATAATTTTTACATTTTTCTTAAATTTTATTAACTGAAAGAAAAAATGTCGGAAATAGCATCAAATTGTAGAATAAGTTTAGCTTTGTTCGAATTGGTCACCTTTGGCACGAATTATGGCCTTCAAACGGCCAATGAAACCGTCACACGCTGACCGAATTTTGGTCTGCGGTATTTTGGCCCATTTCCGGCGAAGCGATTGCTTGAGGTGATCGACACTTTGTTAATTTTAGTGCCAATCTTGCTTTCCAAAATACTTCAAACACAATAGTCCAATGGATTGGTATCCGGAGATTTTGGTGGCTATTGTGCGGTGGAAATGAAGCGAGGAACCTCATTTTGTAACCATTCTTGGGTGGCGCGTGCTGAATGCAATGGTGCTGGGTCCTGCCGGAATGTCCAATGTCAGCGGCCAAAATGTTTGCGTGCCCAAGGCTTTAATACACCCACCAGAATATTTTCGCGATAATATTCGGCATTTATTCCGATGCCACGGTCGATTAATACGAGGGGAGAACGACCATCGGCTGTTATGGCGGCCCACACCATCACCATGACCAGCGCTTGAGTTTTGGTGGCCAACCGAAGGTGCACATTTTCTCACATTTCTCTTTGGCATGTAAACACCATCATTTTGTTTGTTTACAAACTGCTGAACAACGAATGTTTTCTCATCGGAGAAAATCAAATTCGGCAGTTCATCACTTTCGGCCAAGCGGAGCAACTCTTTAGCTCCCTTGAGTCTATTTTCTTTCTGTTGCGGTGTAACTTCTTGCACTTTTTGGAATTTTAATGGCTTTACCCTGAGCTCTTTTTTCAATATTTTCCGAATGGAATATGGCGATATGTTCAGCTCACGAGCCATTTTTCGGCCAGTGCGACGCGGGTTTCGATCAAGTCGCTTCTTTACTTTATGATGATGGTGCTGTTTTCTTCCGTACACTTCCTTGACGTCGAGCTATTATGGTAACTAGCGATGGTACGAGACACAAAAGATTTATTCACGTTTAAATGCTGGAGTGTTCTAACGATATCCAATTGTGGTTTTTCAGTCAAATAGAAAGAAATCACACTATCACGCTTGAATTCCATCTCGACTAACTTTTTTTGCTGGAAAATTCTCCCCAAAATGCTTTTTTGCGCTTATGAACAATGTAATGAGCTGTTAATGGAATGATTTTAACAGCTATTGGACGAGTGGCTTAGAAATGACAGCAGTCTGAAGTTGGTTGCAGTTTTTCGTCTCACCTTGTGAACCATAAAAAGCCATCAGGCAAATGGTTGACACAATCACGCTTACACGATAATAATCTTCATGAAATTTATGAAAATCAGATCGTCATAATTTTTTACGTGACCCGAAATAAGAATGTGCAGGAATTAAATTACAAGATCTAAGTGGCCAATTGAGGTCACTTCTTCAGTGCGCAACGCGGTTCGAAATCTTTTTTCTTAAAATAGCAATGGCATTGTTCTTCTCTTTTTCAAAAAGTAATGTCACGCTTTGAGGATGACTCAATAATAACTCCTCTCTATTTTGCTTCGTCGTA